CTTAGATCATGCAACTATATCATAATTAACTCACATCCAATCAATTGGACCAACTTGCAAAGCCCTCACATAACGTAAAGAAGAACCATAGCTAGGATTGGGGGTCTCATGGATTCTTGAAGGATTTTGAGTTAAAATCATATAAAATCAATCATACATTCATAAAAAAAACATAATTCAACCTTTAAAATCCACTTTAAAAGGAATCCATGGAATTGAGTTGAAACCCTAGCCAATTGGGTTTTCAAGAATTGAGATAAAAGCTTTTGAAAGGGCTCCTTGGGTGATAGCTTCCCAAGGATGAAGGACTCTCATACCTTAGGTGTAGAATCCTATCAAATTCGTATTGAAAAGCTCCTTCCTTCAAGCTTTCCTTAATCTCCTTTGTTCTTCAATGGAGTTCTAAAAAGAAGATTTTGGAGAGGAGGGAAATTGGTTGAGTTTTGAGTTTGTGAGTTATGAGAGTTAAAAGGGTTTATTAATAGTTAAAATTACTTAAGTATATCTTAAATAACTAATAATAACCATCCCCACCCTTAATTAATTTAATTAGTAATTTACCAAACTACCCCCACTTAGGCCGAACCTAGGCAGCAACACAGGGCTTGATCCATGGACCCTTATCCATGGAGCATGGATGGGTCTATGAACCGTCCTTGCTGGCCCTGGTTTGGGTCAAAGAGGGGCAATTGGGGAACCAACTTAGGGATACTAAGTCTCGAACCACGCCTCCTAACCACGGAGTGTGGTTCCACCCACGACTCGAGGGTGCCCAATCGTGGTTCAAGCTGTTTTTGACAGCTTTTGGACCTTCTATTGGGTCCTCCTCATGGACCCTTGGGGGGAGGGTCCTAGGGGGGTTATGCCTTGATGTTTAGGCACTAAAACCCTAGTACTAAGTTAGGGAAGTTATTTTAGGACTCTAACCATACGTTTTAACTTCATTAGGCTACTAGACTACATGTTAGGCTCTAGCTTAGGTCATTAGATTTACGAGGTGTTACACAGGCGGCCCTAAGGCAAGGGGGCAGGGGCGGGGGCGGGGGAGGGGGCGGTGCCTCCAAGCAGGCGGCCTTGAGGCACGGAGGGGACAGGGACGGTGCCTCCGGGTGGGCAGCCCTGAGGTACGGAGGGACGGAGGCGATGCCTCTTGGCGGGAGGCCCTGAGGCATGAGGGATGGGGGCACCCCGAGGCACCACCCTCACCCCCTGTGCTTCAAAACATCATGAGGTCTATATGTAACTCATACTCAAATACACATAACCATGGTGAAATCAATCAAGTAAACTTATTTTCTCAAAATTTAAGGTTTTCGTGAATATACATAATGAGGAAATCAAGAGAATATGTAAGACACATGACACCCAATGAGTAAGACATAAAAAGCTAAATACCTCAAGTCTGAGTAGGGACGGAGGGAAAGAGATGAGGATAACGGGATATCATATTGGTCTCAGCCTCTCAAGTAGCACTCTCAACTAATTGATTTCTCCAAAAAACTTTCACGAAAGCATCTTCTTTATTTCTTTTGTAATTAATTCAAATTATAGAAATTTTTATGGATTCATTATTTAAGTCATGTAATTATATAATTTTTCCTATTTTAAAACTAAATTACTAACTGCAATATTTTTGGACTAAATTATTATCAATTAGCACAATTTAAAAATATATTACAAACAAAGTTGTAATGTATTTTGATAAAGGTGGAGTGATGTATCGAAATGTTGGAATCCGGTGTTCTACTCCCACACCGAAAAGAGAGGCTACTACTTGCCAAAGTAGGACCTACATACATAATAGCTATCTAGTGGATCCACTAAGCTAATACCTACGGGGGCACGTAGTTATGGAACAAGGAGATTTCTACTAGAAAACCTTGACTTACTAAGCGTGGAGGTTTCCATCTCATGAGACAACATCTATGTTGGAAACCCGGACTTGCTAAACGTGAAGGCTCTCTTGTGGGAAGCCGGACTTGCTAAACGTGAAGCCCCCACTCTCATTTTTCATGTTCACTCGGTGCTAAGATCCAACTCCCTTTTTAAACATCTTTAAGCCTTTATTTAACATTAGTTCATAAAGTAGGCTTTAGGGACTTAATCCCTCATATCATATAGCTCAAAGGTTTCTAAGATGAGAATGACCTTTCATCATAGAACCTACATTATGTGAGAATGACCTTTCACATAATCATACCATATTCATAACATAGTCTAGTTTAGAGTACAATTGAGGAAACCTTTCAAGAGACTCACTTTCACTAGATTATCATAAACCTTATTCATTCATTCATGTGTGTGTACATATGTGAGAAAGCCTTTCACATAAACACATTTATACAACACATATTCATACCTTGCTAATCATACACTTTGCATGCATAATAAGATGTAAGGGTGCATTTAAGAGTTCACCTTTCAATAGACACCATAACACATCATATTCACAGCTATACATGTAGAGTGTGTGTGCATATTGGTCCTCATAGTGACATAATAGCAACAACATTGATATTGAGTGCACTTCCCTTCAAGGGATCACCACACATTCACAATGTCCCCAAATCATGAGCAAGTCACATATAAAGCCCTTAGGGATTCTAGACCACACACCCACACTTCATCATATAAGACAAGGACACATTCAACATTGAATAGGTACTCCTAACATGTATATGATCAAATATTCATATAGGGGTCATATAGGTAGGGGTCATTCTGTAATAGTACTTAACAGAATCAATCATGTAGACCACACCTTATCCCTAACATTATCATTCACGTTTTACTCCTCATCATCAACACACTTTAAACATCATGCTAGCATTGAGGATTTCATACATAACCTTCATAGCACAACTTCATAAACATATGCATCATAATCATCAATTCACTTCACATCTATTGCCTTAAAGGCCATGATCTCAACATGCATAGATAGACAAGAAGTGAACACCTCCACCATAAGTGGATCAAACCACACAACATCAATTCTCATACTACAGACTAGAAGTTAGGTCAACTTACCAATTCTCCAAGCCATGATCACCATGGATCAATCCTCAACAATTCATAATCAATTGACATAGATAGTAATAGGAATCAACAATGTAATTCAATAACATAAACACAATCTAAGTACAATTCTATAAACAAAGGGATCAACCCATAACTTTGCCCATAATGCCATAATCCTCAACTCATCAATATACCAACAATTCAACATGAATAAGTATATATATAATCATAAGAAACATCAATACAATCTAATCTAAACAAAATTTCACCAATAGAGATCATTTCACAAAGACCCACATCATAGCCAATTTTCGAGAATTTGGGGATCATAGGTTCTTTAAGAATTCCTTTGAAAATTATCTTAAAAACCTTAATTCCACATTAATTCATCAATAGAATGATTTAGAATATCGTTTGACAAGGAACTCATGTTTAGATTGAAAATTGGGAATTTTGGTCTTTGAATCACTTTTGAAAATCTTTGATAGAACTCCTTGAATGAAAGGTTATTCAAGAATCAAGAGTCACCATACCTTAATTATTGAAGACCCATGAAATTGAAGAAGAAATCAATTGAAAACACATCTTCTAGCTTGAGCTTCATCAAGGTCTTCAATGGAGTTTTTGAGAGAATCTATTTTGAGAGAGAAGGGTCAATTTGAAGAATGGGGTCTAATTTTAGATTTTGGGGTTTTAACCAAATTAAAATACCCTAAAATAGGTAGAATAACCGTTTATAATAATTCCCCAAAGTACCCAAACTACCCCTCACTTAGTTGGACCTTTTAAACAAGTCAAACTTGAGTTTTACTTTCGCAGATTTCGTCGGGAAACAAGTTTGCGACGCGGAGGTGTTCCCACAAGGTTTCTAGAAATTAAATTCGAGACAGTAGAGTCTGCGACATGTCCACGACGCGGACCAAACATTTGGCCCTTGGTGGAGCTAGTCCGCGACGCGGACATGCTCCCTCCAAGCACAACTTCAAGCTGCCTTGGCAGCTTGCTTGGCCAAGGCTAGGGTCCTCATCGGGGACCCTTAGGGTGGCCCCCGAGAGTCGTATCCGAACATTTTGACCCTAAAAACATTTATTAAGACACTAGGGTCACCTCCACTGATTTTAGACTCCAAACAACACATAAAAACATGAACAACATACTAGAACACACCAACACGTAAAAGACTAGTTTCCGAACGTCTTGGTCGCCCCTTGACGTTTGACTTCCAAACTCTTTAAAACAGACTTAAAAGGCTATTCTTTATTATTTTTACAAGTTATTAATGCATAAAACCCATGTGAGGCTCTACTTTATCCTACTTTATTTTGAGGGTCGTTACAATACTGCAGCCTGCACGCATGATTTTTAGAGTACTTCCTCCATTTTTATTCAAGTAATTTAATTTGATTGAGTATAAAATTTAAATATTTAAGAGATATTTTAAATTTTATAATTTTATAATCTTAAATTAAATATACGTAGTTATTTAAATTTTATGATCTTAAACTTATCTTAAAATATTAAAATTGAAAAACTTACCAAAGAAAGAGATTTTTTGAGAACAAACTAAAATAATAAAATAAAATAAGACACTGAAATTGAGACATGAAAAAACATTATATAATACCCCAAACAACCAAACTCAAGTCCTAATAAATTTGCAAAGGTTAAAGTATTAATTAGCTCGTTAAATCACTTGTATTATAATAATAAATAAAATACAAAATGAGAAACAGAAAAAGGAAATCCATCCTGAAAATAATGTGCTGTAGATACCTTGTAATGGAGAACTCCTTCAGATTAAAACAAAATCAGTTTTTGTATTGTTTACAGAAGAATGAAGCCACCTAAACTCTACATGCATGAGTGTTAACTTTATTAGGTGTAACTCAGCATGTTTTCATAGCCATGCAAAGTGCAATGTGTCAATCCTTTCCTTACCTCTCCTTCCTATAAATACCATCACTTCCCATTCTCCACTTCCCATCAGCAATCAATAGTTTTAATTAATCATATATCTACTCTTCTTACAATCAATCAATTATGGGTTCTAGCTGGCTTTGTTTCTCCCTTAGTTTTCTTCTAGTGTTGCATGGTACCTTTGCTCAGCAAAGATACCAACAGCAACAAGGTCAGTGTCAGCTTAATAGACTTAACCCTCAGGAACCAACTGTTCGCATTCAAGCTGAAGCAGGGGTTACTGAGTTATGGGACAAAAATAACCAACAGTTTCAATGTGCTGGTGTTTCACTCGTTAGACATGTTATCCAGTCTAGAGGCATGCTGTTGCCTTCTTACCTTAATACTCCTCTCCTTGCCTATGTTGAACAAGGTATTTAACATTATACTCTTTACCCTTTTTGATTTCTGTCACCAGGTAATGATAAGGTCTACGTATACTCTATTGGTTATGTTAGTTGTTGCATTGATAAAGTGATTGTAACTAATTAATGTACAGGTAGGGGATTTTTTGGGATTATGAATTCTGGATGCCCTGAAACTTTCCAGTCATCACAGCAATTTCAGCAAGGTGAAAGGGGTGCAGGATCAAGATTCCAAGATCGTCATCAGAAGATTGGACAGTTCAAACAGGGAGACATTATTGCCTTCCCTGCTGGAGCTGCTCATTGGGCTTATAACGAAGGAAATGAGGAGCTTGTTCTTGTTTGTTTCGAGGATAGTGGTAACAGTGCAAACCAGCTTGATCAAAATTCAAGGGTATGTACGTTACATAAAGTTAACAACATACTCAATCAAGTGAAGTATTAATTTTAATAAATAAATTAATCTGATTTTCGTTTTTTGCAGAGATTCTTCATAGCTGGAAACCCGCAACAAGGAGAACAGCAACAGGGACAACAAGGAGGAGCCCGCAGCTTCCAGAAAGAGCAATTCCAATCTGGAAATGTGTTCAGGGGCTTTGAATTAGAGTTGTTGGCCGAGGCATTCGGCGTAAGTAAGGAAACAGCAAGGAAGCTTCAGGGAGAGGAGGACCAGAGAGGCCACATTGTGAACATTGATCAAGGGCTTAGAGTTGTGAGACCACCATTCTCACAAGAACAAGAGGAGCGTGAGGAGAGACAAGAGCAAGGACAATACGGTCCTCGTGCAAATGGAATTGAGGAAACCATCTGCTCCGCTAAGCTCAGGCAGAACATCGATAACCCCGCTCGTGCTGATGTCTACAATCCTCAGGCTGGACGCTTCACCACTGTCAACAGCCTCACTCTACCCATCCTCAGCTTCCTCCGCCTCAGCGCTGCCAGAGGAGTTCTTTACAGAGTAAGCCACAACTTGCTATTGCTATTGCTACTCCCTCTGTTTAAATTTGTTTGTCTGATTTTGACTTGATACGAATGTAATGTGCAGAATTCGATCATGGCACCACACTGGTGGACAAATGCACACAGCGTAATCTACGTAACAAAGGGAGAAGCAAGGATCCAGATAGTTGATCACAGAGGACAAGCAGTGCTAGATGACAGAGTAAGACAGGGGCAAGTTGTGATAGTGCCACAGAACTTCGCCGTGGTGAAACATGCCGAAAATGAAATCTTTGAGTGGGTCGTATTCAATACCAATGACAATGCCATGATCAACACACTCAGTGGCCGTACTTCTGCTATTCGAGGATTACCCGTGGATGTGATAGCCAATTCTTACCAGATTACAAGGGAAGAGGCAAGGAGGCTCAAGTTCAACAGGGAGGAAACTCTACTTTTCAGCTGTTCAGAAAAATCTAGCCAATATGGGAGAGTTGCTGCTGCTTAATTACAACGTTTTGCTTGCTTTTTTTTTCCTATGTAATAAGCTAAGCTAAAAGCGTACTTAATAAAACAGAGGACCTTATACGGTCATCGTTCTAATGATGTAATGGCAACTGTTATGTATATCTATAAGCGGCAAGTTCTTGTACCTTGGCAAATAAAAGGAACACTACGCTTTTGCCTTTTTTTGAGCTAATTTGGACTGTCTTCCTTTTTTCGAACAACAATGGTATAATTGATAGGTGAACATCAAAGAGTTAGAAAAAATAAGAAGAAATTTCATTCTTTTGCCAACATAATCTGAATGAAAAGAAGTATTATCTGAAATATGCAGCAGTTTTATACTACTTATAAATCAGCTGGAGCCTTGATTGTTTGATTATTCTTAGATCAAAGTACACAATGAACTAAATAGCTTCAGACCTATTGATTAAGCCAACTCACAAAGATGTGTTTTATTGATTATGCTAGATCTCAAGGGACTACATAGGCTTTGATGTATTTTCATTGGTTTTCTTCTTCTTTTTCATTTTTGTAACATTCACAAATGAAGTATTAAATGAGTTTTGATATACATATATTTGTGATTTGAATGTTTGTGAAATTCTTTATTGTGAATGTTTATTGCATATCCATTGTGAATGTTTGTTGTGCATTCTACATAAGTGACCACTTCCATCAATTTAGTGTTCATAGGAAACGAAACGAACTTTAAAGAGATTATCATAAGAATAATCTATGTTGATAGGAAAAGGAAATTATCATAAGAACCAAGTAATAAAAAAGGTCATTACAATGTTTTGATTGTGAAAATAAGCTTTACCTGTTCCATATTCGGAGTCGGGTACGAGTTCATGCTTACGAGTAGAGTAATTTTAGTTTAGAAGCAAATGTAGCTTGATTAACATTTGTACAATATTATCTTGTGATATAAAAACAGTAAACTCCATATGAAAATAAGATACTGTTGAAGGACACGTTTTATATTATGTGTGCAAATATTGATAAAAAATGGAGTAATTAACACAAGTTTTATCTCGACTATTGTTGTGTGATATTCAATTGAATACCCTCACGATTTCTATTATCAGCTTGAAATCTTGGTTCAATATTTGCCTTGTTACCATACTATCAAATGATCATGAGAGATTTGATAAAGGTGAGTTGATTTTGAGTCGAGAGGCGAGTGAGAACAGGAAGATCATTGATAAAAACTCATTCAATTTGTGTTTGTTGGTACCACTTATGAATCATAATTTCACTCAGTAACAATAAGGCAGGAACTTTATTGATTTTAACAAACACCTCGTACAAGTTACACTAGGTACTAATCGACATTGATGCCGTTTTAAGAGGACCTTCGTTGAGGAGATAGAAGGAGGCTCTCTCCTCCCCTGTTTATCTTCAAGCGTTGTGCTTCATTTGGCGATATCTGGTACGCGTTTGTGAGGACCTCAACAGGCATTGCTCTAATCACTGATGTGTAACCTGCAAGTTGATTGTTCATTGGTTGACTACTTGTCCTAAACACCACAAATTCAAATCCATTCTCCCCTGCTTTAATCGTTGCGGGGAAGTACTGAGGAGCCACAAACATTTCTCCTTGATTCACCTTGTCGTTCATCACTTGTTGCCCGGTCTGATCTACTACCTGCACTTGTGCGTCTCCTCTTTCAACGTATACCACGCTGTGGCCAGTCAATGTCCAATGAGGGCTCATCAATGCATTCTGCATCCACCAATTAAGTACAGTTTCAATCAATTTAAGTCATACTAACAGCAGAAATTTTTGGAAAAGAATGATTGATTTAATTACCGGATAAATGGTTCCTTTAGAGGCACTCATGTCAATGTATTCAAGGATGGGAAGTTTTTGGCGACCAACATGGTTAACTTTGCCGGCTTGCCTTGAGAAGATATCAGCTCGTCTTTGAGTTTCTATATTGGTCCGGATTTTCATTGTGCAAATGTTTTCTTCTAAGCCATTTCCAATTATTTCCTCCCACCATTGTTGTCCTCGTTGTGGTCGCCCTTCTTCTTCTTCTTCATCGGGCCTAATAATGCTCATTCCTTCCCTCACATTGACAATTGTTCCACGATCGATCTGTTCTTCTTGCATCTTCCTCACAATCTCTGTGGGGATGTTGAAGGCCTCGGCCAGCAATTCTGTGTCAAAAGCACGGAAAATGTTCTGGAACTTCTGTGTCCTTTGCTTTCTTAGACCAGTTTGAGCTCTTTGGCTTTCACTTTCTTGTACTCCACCGGCCAAGTAAAATGCCTAAAGTCCAAAACATAGCCAACCAAGATATAACAAATTATGTGAAGTGTGTATATAGGTTAAAACTCATTATATATGAAGTTGCATCATGAACAAAAAATTCATTAAATTGTAGAAATTAGCACGAAAGATTTTACCCTGAAGTTCTGATCAAGCTGGTTGGATCGATGGTTGAGGTCGTTAATGGCTACAGCTACGAGCTCTTCCTCACCGTCGTTATAGCACCAATGAGCAGCACCAGCTGGAATTGCCACAACATCACCTTGGCGGATACGGTGGACTTTCTGGTGCTGGTCGCCTCCGCGGCCTTGGGGGCTCTCTTCCCTTGGCTCTTGGCCGGCATGGAAGGTCTGTGACTGGAAAGTCTCAGCACAGCCAGGGTAAGTAATGCCAACTATTCCCTGTCCACGCTGGATGTAAACCAAGCGAGGCATGGGATGAAATTTAGGAAGAGAAAGAGAATTACTGCGGATAACAATCCTCATAGGAGCAACTCCAGCGCACTGGAATTGCTCCTCGTTCTCGTCCCACAGCTCAGTGAAGCCGCCCTCTGACTCAATTCGATCAGAGGGCTGGCTTCCCGTAAGCCTCTGTAAGCGGCATTGTTGAGCTTGAGTCAGACGAGTGCCTCCCTGACCTTGCTGACCCCGATACTCTCTTATTGCATTTGCTGCAGACAAGAGAAAAGCAAAGAACAGTACAGCTAGCAAGTGCCTAGTAGTGACCGCCATCGCTAATTAGGATTTTTTGATTGTTAATTCAATACCAATGAGATTTGGAGAGACTGAGGCCTCTGTTCTTATAGCGTTGGAGGGTAACAAGTAGGAAGGCCTCGTGGCGATTATCCTGTTTACTATTGCATGGTGAAGCTGTCTTCATCTCGACACTTTGCCATGGTTGTTCAAAAAGACAGTCACTACATGCAAATCACCTGTATTAGCTTTTTGTGTTTGGTTTTTTGTGGGCTTTATAGGGAAACTTACATAAATATAACAGAAAACGCTAACATCTACGATTTCAATTGCTTATTAGTACAATTTTTAAAGCATTAATTGTGATTTCTGATTTTGACTTGACATGAAAGTTAAGATCATAGAGAACACTTTTGAATCTTGGTTTTAATTAACCATGTCACGTGAAGAGTTAGGATTAAAGAGTTACAAGATGGAAAGAAACATTCTTTTTATAAACTGACTAAAAGGAAAAGTAAGACAAACAATTGAAACAGGGGGAATAGTATTTAAGATTAGATATATGTATGTACAACTTTCTTTTATGGCCTAAATTTTTTTTTCTTTTTTTGCTCTCTTTTACAATAATTCAGAAAAATGGGAGTAGGATAGAAACTTAAAACAAGATAACTGAGAAGAAAAATGTTAATTACTTAGGCACATATACAGCGGTACACTAGGCTTAGTCTTGTATCTGTAGAAGGCAGTTTTCTTCTTGTAAGTAGGATTATCAATAGTGATAACTATCCTCCCTTCTTCTCTAATATGAAAAGAATTCCTTACACTCTCCGCCATTTTCTTATCTTCTTGAAGCATTACTCTGTATGAACAATCATCATCTGGTATGAATTCTTCTTTGTAACTCACTTCATTCCCCACCACTATCAAATCCCAAGTTATCGTCACCTCAACCTATAAGAATTAATACACGTATTAGCAATGCGTGGATCCATAAATGGACTTAAAAGGAAATGAAAGCAAGGCATTGCAGCAAATGCAACCTCTTTGACGGGCATTTTAATGAGGCAAAATGAACATGGTTTGATGCTTATCTCTAGAACTTTGTCATCGGTTGAAAACTCAACATCCTTGTCCTTTTTGAGTCCACCATATTCAGCTAATAAGTTCTCTGGGCTAATGTACCTATATATATACATGATACAAGAAAATTATCAATTCAACACAAATCATTGAGCAAATTAAAAGAAAAGCTTACTAATCCCTCTGTTTCTATTTGTTTGTCTGATTTTGACTTGACACGGAGTTTAAAAAAGTTAAACAAGGACTTCTGAATTATATAGTCGTAATATGAAGGAATGTAAAATGTGTCAACCTATCCTTCAATCTTGTAGTCTTAAACATGTGTTTCATATGAAACTAAAGAATTGTCGAAAAGGGAAGACATTCTTTTTTAAATAGACTAAAGAGGGAAATAATACAAAATAAATTGAAACGAAGGGAGTAATTACTTGAGAAGGGTCTCTGTAACTTTAGATGGTTTCACAAATATGAAGGCGTTCTTGCTTCTTTGTGTGATCATTCGCAGGTTAAGTGCATGAACCGTGGAAAACCAAACAGGAACATTAATAAATATCTGCAATATTACCATCAAATTTTCAATCCAAAATCACATTTCAAGAAAATTCAATCCAATTGTTCAAACAATTAAACAAGAAAAAAGGGGAGAAATTTCGCGTACATTCTTGTATATGATTCCAGGATAATGATCATGAACCAAGTTCATCATCTTCCTGTTAATCCAACGAACCTCTTTCCAAGCATTTCCCGGTGAATTTCCCAAATCTGTAATCATCAAAACAGAATTAACCCCTCCTTGTTTAAATTCAAGTTGTTGAATTGCCTTCTCCAAAATATGTATCCTCCATCTAAGACACTCATGATGATGATTATGCCTTCCCCAAATCTCCTCTTCCAATTCTTTATTCTTGATATTCTTAAACACATTATAACATAATAACCTTCCTTCCCTATCCTTACCATCATCATTGTACCACAATTTCTCCAGGTCAGGACTAAATAATTTTTCATCAAGAATCTCCGTAACTCTAAATTCCCTCCTCCATCTCAACGTCTTCCTCATCATCTTATACGCATCATACACACCATAATCCTTAGCTTTCAAGAAATTCAACAAAACAATATCCGTCCTTGTGTTATCTTCACTTGGTAATAATGGAACACCCCATAATGAAATTCCAGTCAAATCCTCTGTTATGGTTTTAACAGAGAGAGACTTGTTTTTGTTTTTACCATAAATGTATCCACCAAGAATGGCATCTTCCACCCTACATCTTAATCTAAGCAACGCGTTTTTTCTTGAAGCTTTAATGTCGAGAGGAGAAACTAATTGACCAGGCTGATCAAAAATAGGTTGATGATCATCATCATGATCTAAATGATCGTCTGATTCTGTATCATTGTCGCTGCTCATGATATCATCAACAATGTCTTCTTCAGCGACAGGAACAACTACTTCCTCCCGCATTCTTCAAGAAAGTTAATTAATATTAAGAATTTGATACACAATGAGATTAGGCCATATCAAAAAAGTCTCTTGTTTTTCCCCTCTGGTTTATGGAATCAATAAACCAGAGGATGTGATTATGTTTTTTTTGTTCAAAAGAGTCATATAAACTACTAATACTTAAAACCATTGATATTATTGGAGCTAAGAGGACCATCCACATATTATAAATGTTTGACCAAATTTGGATATTTCTTTTTTATTATGTGTGTGGGTGGGAGAGGGACATTTTGGATTTTCTTATCTATGTCTTTCTCAAGTCTAGTCACTACATACGTGCAAGCACGTAAAGTAGTAATAAACTATATTTGGTAACAAAAACCTTTCGTATCGTTTAATTTGTTCACATATATTGCTTTAAAACTATACAATACAAATTAAACGATATGAAAAGTTTTTGTTAAAAACAATAACCCCCCTTCCTGGCCTTATTTTGATACATTTTTTTTTCATTGACCAATTATTTGGTGCTTTTTATGAAAAAATATATGGTATTATTCTGGATACATTTCGAAAAAAAAATTTATTGAGAAGGGGATACTGCAATTGTGAAGGATTGATTCACGATCATGAAGAAGGGGCTTGGACAGATTAAAATCCTCATTTCGAACCTATTTGTTTGTAACAAGGTTTTGGGAGTTTTAGACCTCGATTTTTGGTGTTTTTTAAAAGAAACTTTCATGATTTCTAGTGATTCCACAAAAGAATAACGATGAAGTACCACTTCAGGAATGATAATTTGAAATCCCATGATCTAGTAGTTATTACAAGCTGATGTTTGCAAATTATGTCTAGTAATACATATACACAAAACAGATGTACTTGTTACTAAAAACAAACTGCAGAACAACATTAACTTGTAAACTAGAAGGGAGTAACAAGAAACACTACAACACCTTGTTTGCCTATTCTAATCAAGCCTTCTCCTCTCCTGAAATACCCGGCTTTACAACCTCGTGGAGTGACTGATTGCTATCTCCTTTTGTAGGTGCTACAACATGACTTTCACTTGCATTTAAAGACAGCTTCTCTAAATTGGCTTCACTGGTATCAGCAAGATTAGGCAGGCCACTTTCATTTTCGGGTGTTTTAGGCGGTCTTTCTCCCGACTCTGGAGCTTTGTTGGGCAGGTCAGTTCCATTTTCAGGTGTTTTAGGCAGTCTTTCTCCCGAATCTAGAGCTGCTTCCATTTCCTCGTACCTAGAAATGACTTGTCGAAGCTCATCGTGAAGATTTAAAGCTTCAAACATCAACCCCTCATCACCTGAGGTTGATTCCACAATTCTTTGTATAACTGCCAAAGACTGCTTGCAGTTCTCCAACATGCTCATTGCCAGATCATCCTTCAGCAACACAAATTTATCAGTTCATTCATGTCTCAAAGGTTACCCCGCCCATCAGAAGGCCAAACTGATAGACACACAGAGAATTTCATTTTCTTCAATGGAACATAAACAGTTAAATCACACAAAACGGAAAGTTTTGAACAACAGAACGTCTTTTGTGAAAATTTAGTAACACGGCTCGATCAACTTGATGTTTTGGCAGATTTCCAATTGTTTTAATGTCAATTGACCTTACATTTATCGTCCTTTTGGTGATCTTAGTAGTAAATATGTCTAACTATGCTATTTACTTTTTTTTAGAATGCCTATGCCATTTACTTTTGTTGTTTAGAAAGCTAGAGAAATGAATTGGAGCATTAAAAAGAACAACTTGGACTGAAAAGAAGCAAAATTTGAGAAAAAAACAAGAAGAAGTGCTATACTCGCGGTATAGCACAAGTATAGTGGAGAGTGTAATTTTCCTAAGCATGGAAGAGAAGCGCAATGTATAAATTCCGAGAGAATCTATGTATTATTTTATGCAGAATAGAAGGTGGAATAACTAAAACATAAAATAACTGCATAACTTTAACCAACAACCAACGACTTAATGCATTATTTATATCTCTACCCCATAGAAATATATAGGGTTTGGAATAACTTGAAAAGACAAGTAGAAATCTTCTAGTTGTAGATTAATAGTCCAGATAAAGTAAAGATTCAAATAATTTGAAAACTTTAGCAGGATTGTCAGGAGAACACCATAACTATAGAAGCGTTCATTCATCATAATCATCAATCTTCAAGCGTTCATTTATTTAGTTCATGATTATTTGCAATTCTTAGTTTTTCAAAAGTCACCAAATGACCTTCTAACTTTTCTTACTTAGATGTTAGAATAATTTAATTTAGTAAAAAGTTAATCAAAAGTCCCCGTAGAAACGACACTTGATTCACCCTTATTATTTATTGATTGTGCATACTTGGATGTGCGTTTGAGGACAATACAACTCACTAGTGATGTGATTAGAATTAAGCATTAATCCCATTTGTAGGTCAGTTTATTCTATCACCAGATTTTTGTTCTTGCTTCACTTTTTAATTTATAGTATTGGTGTCTGGGCCACTTTTGATGGATGATCACGACGGGATTCAAGAAAATTTCCTTTTTATTCTTCCGCTGGCATGTATGTTTTTATCCTTAAATTCCAACAATAGTGCACTTCGATTATTTCACCGAGTACCTGGTATTTCACATTCAGATATGATCATATTCAAGTTTTACGGCTAATTACACTGACCTCCTTTCCATTTTATGATTTAGTCAAGGAACCTTCAGCTAGCTTCAAAGTTTTAATAACATACCCAACTCAATGTTGCAAGTAGTTATATTTGTTTAAACTGATCTTTTTTTTTTTTTTGATAACCGTGGTGTCTAAACCAACTTGCGCACACTTCCACTAATTCCGCAGGATACCTACCATCTCTCACTAGCAACATGTACCAGGTAACTCTATCCACCAAGGCTAGAACAGATGGGAAAAAATCACCTATTGTTTTGTCTCTGCTCGGATTCGAACCTAAAGGCTGAAACCTCATGGTGTTCAACCTACTTCAATAATCATACTATGTTTACTTTCATTTTAAAAGTTAACTAAGTAAATATACTTGATTTATCTCTTATTAATTCAGGTTACCTAATAAATCTTATTGTTAAGGTACCACAAAAAAATACTTCCTCTCCATATCATTATGTTGATCAATTAAGGAACATTACAAGGAATTGTTACATTTTCACCCCTTTAGTATAGTATTAATGACTATTATGCCACTATATTCTGATTGTGCTTAAGGGAAGTGCTTCTTTCAAGACACTCAGAGAATGGAGACTGATAATTATGACAATACTCTAATCAAAAAATAATTGCTGAAATGTCTTCAAATTTAAGAGTCAATATGGCTAAAAAGGGGAGGTTTTGGTGATGCCATCTTAAACAAAAGAGAAGGTTGGTGTATTTCTGAAAAGTAAAGAGGAGGTACTACGACGGTCAACTGGAAGTATTATTTGCACAAAGAACAGAAGTTCTGACAAGACCGTGCGCGCCATAATGAAAATTGTTCTATGAAAAGAAAAGGGCTGGCATGAACATGAGAATTATAAAGGAAAACAAGTGTGCAGATGTCAGATGTCTGAATTTTTAGTTTATTCTATTATTTTGGAATCTTTAAAAATGTAGTTTACTTGCCATCCCTGACATTAAAAAATATGTACATGCCCCTTTTCTTGCATCCTACCCACCCCCACCACCCTGCATGACATAAAAGAATAACTAAATATAATGTCAATTGTTTGAGCCTCGCCTCTACTTTAGGGAAACTAATTAATCCTTCATTTTAGTTTAAACAACATTATAGTCTCTCAAAAATTAGACATTCATCTATATATATATATATATTCTATGAAAAGCTCCACTTAAATGGTTGATGTCATCAATATGCTATTATGCTCAACTTTAATCCCGTCAACACCTTCTAAAAGACACTTTTTTCCTCTTCCCTGTTGAGATTTGATCCCCTTGCCCACACATAAACTCTATTCCCTTGTGAACTCGCATTAGACACCACCATCCTTTAGACCTTAACTATTGTCACAAATCCTCCTTGAGTCCTCAATACCTATCATGGCCCCACTGTTGCCTTTATCCTTTCTTTTTATTAGTGTTGTTGGTCTTGTTTTTCTCATCCTGAAGCCCCTTTAGGGTCTTCTTTGTTCTTTTCTTTTCTTTCCTTCTTTTGTCCATCTTATATAATTCTTATGATTGAACAAAAATGAGGTATTGGATCTACTTGGCTTATGCTTTTTGGTGGAAGTAAAAGAATGTTGATTCAAGTACTTGGGGATTGGTGAGAAGATAGACTTAGGACTTGACTCAACCCCAGAAGCTATTTTGTCATGTGAGGGTTTCCCAAGACCACATAGGAGCAACAACTCATTCCCTCAGCCACTGTGGGCATTCTAAGCCCCTCTTCCCCTCTCCTGCTCGCCCAGGGCTAGACATCTGGAATGTGAACAATATAAGACCCATATTGGGTTTGGTTTGATACAATGTTATAGGTCAAAAATTCAACCACAAAAGTAAGCTTGTAAAGTAAGCATTGCCCATGATCATATAAGTAGACTCACTCCTTCAACAACCAATGTGGGACATTGAGAAAAGCTTCTCAATAATTTGGAGATGGGTGAAGCAAGTTGTTGGACTAGGAAACAGAAGAAAATTTATTGCACAGAAATGTAGTTCAGTTATATCATGAATCAGAATCTTGCTGATCTATTCCATATGCATTGAGTATGTGTAGCATCAGAATATCTATGGACAACCTTTTTAATGGTGTCCTTCTGTGGCTAGTCGGGGAGTTGCATATCTGAGTTTTCTGCGAGGGTGCACTAAGAGGTTTTCTAGTTTTTGTTTCTTGTTATTTTCTTTTTGGCCCAGGGATTCAAGCTTTTTTTTTTTTCTTGGATGATGCTGCCGGTGGTTTATCAAATGAAAAGATATCCCCTCATAGGATCATGGGCACCCTATTCATAGCAGATGCAACAACAAACTTAAAGCTGAAATGACTACATCAAAAGCTATTTTGGTATATATTCTTTCATGTGCTAACAA